AAATGAGGCAGAGTCTGCCGTTCACGCTGGAGGGCGAGCGTGCTCACGAAACTGGGCAAGCGTTCCGACAAGTTGGTGAAGAAACACTGGCCCGGTTTGTCGGGAGGAGCTTTCTTGATCAGATACTCGACTGTATATCCCCAAACAGGGGGAATGGGGGAATGGTGGTCTGGATGGGGAAGGGGATGGGGACAGGGATCGGTTCAGCGAGACTGAAGGTGAAGGATGCGGCCAGAGGCCGCAGGAGGCCGCCGTCGAAGGCCTCCGACAGCCCGGCAAACGCCACCAGAGGACGCCGATCCCGGGCCGCGGCGGGGCGGCGTCCTTCGCCTTGCGGGCGAGCGTGTCTTCACACCTCGCGGGGACCGGCGCTGGCGTCGAGCGCGCCGAGCTCCCCGTGCCCGCCCTTCTCTAATGCTCCTCCTCCTCCTCCGCCTCCTCCTCCTCCTCCTCCTCCTCCTCGTCCTCCTCCTCCTCCTCCTCGTCCTCCTCCTCCTCCTCCTCCTCCTCCTCCTCCTCCTCCTCCTCCTCCTCCTCCTCCTCCTAGGCGGCTCCCCAGCGAGGCCCCGCGCAGCCGTTTCGCCCCGCGGCGGGCGCGGCCAGGCCCGCGATCACGGGACGCCCCCAGCGCCGGGAAGGCGCGAAGGCAGGCACCGCCGATGGCCGAAAGCGAGAGCTCGTGTGCGCCCCCGGGCTGGGAGAGGCGCCAAAGCAGCAGCCGACGGCGCGCGTAGCGGCGCCTGCGCCTGGCAACGTGCAGGCAAACGGACCTGGACTTCAACTGGCTCCCCAGCGCGCAGTGGCAGTCTTAGGAGGCGAAGGTAGAGCCCGACGCCATCCGCTGCAGCGCAGAGAGCGGGGCGGGCGAGGCAGCGACGACAGTCGAGGAGCCGTGGTGGGGCCTGCAGTGGATGCAGGACTGCGCGGACGAGGCAAAGGAGGCCAGGAAGGCCGCGGAGGCTTAGAAGGCAGAGGCCAGGAACGCCGAGGATACAGGGCAGTGGCAGCGTTGTGCGGGGAGCTTGTGTGAGAAGAACGGGCAAGAGGCAAAGCTAGATCCCAACTGCTCTAGCCACATTACTGGGAACTGCGAGTGCGAGAAGAGAAAGGCTACGACAGGGCCAAACACCATCAGCTACAGCGCAGTGGTCAGGGTGTGCGAGAAGGACGGGCAGTGGCAGCACCGAGGGGGCGACGACTGCACGTGCGAAAAGGACGGGCAGTGGCAGCCTCAGGCGGACTGGCAGTGGTCCCCTCAAGCGGACGGGCAGTGGCAGCCGAAAAGGGTCGGGCCCTGTGCGTGCGAGAAGAGCGGGCAGTGGCAGCTCCGTGAGGGCCAGGACCGACCTTGCGAGAAGTATGGGCAGTGGCAGCCTCAAGAAGTCGGATCCCGCGTGTGCGAGAAGAACGGGCACTGGCAGCCTCAAGCGTGGAGGAGGCCAGGGCGGCCGACAGAGAAGGGTGTTTTTACCTAACAGCGAAGACTGATAGGTTTCTAGTGGGCTCAAAAGAAAGCATCTTGACTCCCCAGGGGGGTCTGGGCGGATGCCGGGGAGAATCCGGGGACTCCCCGGGACTCCCCAGGGGGGTCTGGGCGGGTGCCGGGGAAGATCCGGGGACTCCCCAGAACACCATTCCCAGGCCACATTTTGAATGCCCGGAACCAACTGTAGGCCACTTCGTGTTCTTCGTGTTCCCAGACCATATTTTGATTGCCCGGAGCCACCTGTGGGCCACTTCGTGATCTTCGCGTTCCCAGAACACCAGTCCTGTGCCATATTTTGAATACCCGAGCTGAGGCAGGCTGAGGCCGAGGCAGGCTGAGGCCGAGGCAGGCCGAGGCTGAGGCTGAGGCACGCCGAGGCAGGCTGAGGCTGAGGCTGAAGCAGGCTTGAGGCTGAGGCAGGCTGAGGCTGAGGCTGACGCAGGCTGAGGCCGAGGCAGGCTGAGGCTGAGGCTGACGCAGGCTGAGGCCGAGGCAGGCTGAGGCTGAGGCTGAGGCAGGCTGAGGCTGAGGCAGGCTGAGGCTGAGGCTGAGGCTGAGGCAGGCTGAGGCTGAGGCAGGCTGAGGCTGAGGCCTGAGGCTGCAGGCCTGAGGCTGAGGCTGAGGCTGAGGCAGGCTGAGGCTGAGGCAGGCTGAGGCACTTGAGAGCAGGCAGGCTGAGGCTGAGGCTGAGGCAAGCCGAGGCAGGCTGAGGCTGAGGCTGAGGCTGATGCAGGCTGAGGCTGAGAGGCTGAGGCTGACGCAAGCTGCGGCTGAGGCAGGCTGAGGCTGAGGCTGATGCAGGCTGAGGCTGAGGCAGGCTGAGGTTGAGGCTGAGGAAGGCTGAGACCGAGGCAGTCTGAGGCCGAGGCAGGCTGAGGCCGAGGCAGGCTGAGGCTGAGGCAGGAGGCAAGCCGAGGCAGGCTGAGGCTGAGGCTGAGGCTGATGCTGAGGCAGGCTGAGGCTGAGACAGGCTGAGGCTGAGGCTGAGGCAGGCTGAGGCTGAGGCAGGCTGAGGCTGAGCCGAGGCAGGCTCAGAGACAGGCTGAGGCTGAGACTGAGGCTGAGATGAGGCCGAGGCAGCCGAAGCTGAGACAAGTTGAGGCTGAATGGGGGGGGGGAGGGGAGGGGAGGCCGAGGCAGGAGCAGGATGCCGAGGCAGGCTGAGGCCGAGGCAGCTGCTGAGGCTGAGCCTGAGGCTGAGCTGCAGGCTGAGGCTGAGGCAGGCTGAGGCTGATGCTGAGGCAGGCTGAGGCTGAGGCAGGCTGAGGCTGAGGCCGAGGCAGGCTCAGGCCGAGACAGGCTGAGGCTGAGACTGAGGCTGAGGCTGAGGATGAGGATGAGGCAGGCCGAAGCTGAGACAAGGTGAGGCTGAATGGGGGGGGGAGGGGGGGGGAGGGGAGGCTGAGGCAGGCTGAGGCCGAGGCAGGCTGAGGCCGAGGCAGGCTGAGGCTGAGGCTGAGGAGGCAAGCCGAGGCAGGCTGAGGCTGAGGCTGTGGCTGAGGCTGAGGCAGGCTGCGGCTGAGGCAGGCTGAGGCTGAGGCTGACGCAGGCTAAGGCCGAGGCAGGCTGAGGCTGAGGCTGAGGCAGGCTGAGGCTGAGGCCGAGTCAGGCTGAGGCTAAGGCTGAGGCAAGCCGAGGCAGGCTGAGGCTGAGGCTGAAACTGAGGCAGGCTGAGGCATCCGTAGGAATCCATAGGAATCCTTAAGATTCCCTTGGAACCCTTAGGAACCCGTAGGCATCCTTAGAAATCCGTAGGCCGAGTTAAGCATCCTCAGGAACCCTTAGGAATCCTTAGGATTCCCGGGGAATCCTTAGGAACCCCTGCGATTCCCTAGGAATCAGGATTCCTAAGGATTCCTATGGATTCCCAAGGATGCCTAAGGATGCCTTAGGAATCCCTAGGAATCCTTAGGATTCCATTGGATCATAAGGCCGTTGGCACTGCGACTGTCATTGCGAATGCGACTGCGACTGCGAGAACAGCAGAATTCGACGACTGGATTCTCACCTGAATCTTAAGGGGAAATGCTTCCAGGTATGCTTATACGCATCGCTGTTAGGTTGCTTTGCCGGGATAAGTTTACTTCTGGCAGGGGCCAGGGTTTGTGAGAAAAACTGGCAGCCTCAAGCGTGCGAGGACGGGCAAGGGCAGCCTCAAGTGGACGGACAGTGGAAGCCCTCGGCGGACGGGCAGCGAACGCCTCACGAAGACGGACATTGTGCGTGCGAGAAGGGCGAGCAGTGCGAGAAGGACGGGCACTGGCAGCAGAAGGCGAAGGACGAGCCTGGGAACAGCGCTTGCGAGAAGTGCCAGGCGAAGGCTGAGCCCGACACCATCAGCTACAGCGTTGGGGCCAGGACGTGCGAGAAGGGGCAGGCGAAGCTAGAGCCCAATATCGTCAGCTACAGCGCTGGGAGCAGCGCGTGCGATGAGTGCGGGAGAGGGATCAGCCAGGCGATGTGGGCAGCGCGGCGGGTAATCGCCAGCAAGTGGCTGCCGTACCAGTCGAGGCCCACACGCGAGGCTGAGGCAGAGCAGCAGCAGAGGGTGCTGCACAGGCCGTACATCACGGCCCGCGCAAAACGCAGGGCTCGTGAGGGAAGGGAGCGCCCAGCCAAGCGCTGAGACGCGGAACGCCAGGGCGCGGGTGCGGCAAACGGCGGGGCGAACGAACGAACTGCCATACGCCGGAGCGCGTGGGCAAAAGACAATGCCAGCCTGAACTCGCCGATTTGCGGGAGCGACTGCACGTCGGCTGTCTCATAATGCACTGCGTGCGCGATTGGAGGAAGAAGAGCAGCAGCAGCAGCAGCAGCAGCAGCAGCAGGAGGGGAGGGAGGAGGAGCGAGAAAGGAGGGACGGCATAGTATACATAAACTCCTGGCTCGACGGCGCCAGATCGCACGGACTAGAAAGCCTGTTCTGGGTCCGGCCCCAAACTCTCAGTGAAACGTCGTACGAAGACTTCCCATATGGGGGGTCCCGCACGTACTCCATGACGTGCTCGTCTGATGCGAACGCACCCGAAATTCAGCTGCGCAGGCACGATGCCCATGCATTCATCGGTCTACCCCGCCTCCGATTGAGCGACGCTGTGGCCGAGCGGATCGAACCATCTTGAAAAGTAAGCTGTCTCAGGAAATCTTGGTTAGAAGCTCTGCCAATGTTCCCGAACAGTGCCAGCTGATGCCTCAATAACTGCGCTGTATATGGCTGTTGCCCTGCACGTTGTAGTACATCCTTGTTTGAAATGTGCGTAAGAAAGGCCCGGGGGATGTGCAGCACCTTCCTTAGGCATCTGGCTTGAAATCCGTCGAGTCTCCTCCGTTCAGCTTTGGTCAACCACGCCGTATTCAGATAATACATCAGCTTGGATGTTACCAGTGCTTGAAATAGTTCCAATTCCCGGGGCACAATGATAGCGGTATGTTTCCATGCCCTCTCATATTTGCAAAACTCGGCCCATGCGGCCCCGATTCGCCGATTTAGCTCGGTACTGATTTGCCCCGTGTTGTATAAAGTAGCACCCAAATATGTAAAGGTGTGCTTTCTGGAATGAATTGCCCTGCTGGTGTGTGCAATTGCACGTCGCTTCGTATCTTCATCATTTAGAACTTATCCCAGTGGAGTTCCATTCCTACTTGGGCCCCTGCCAGAGCAATGTTATCCAGTAGTTGTTGAAGGCTGTCTTGGTCCCTCCCGATGAGCAGCGCGTCGTCTGCGTAGAGCAAAACTGATAGACTCCCCAATGATATGTCCATTTGCGCTTTGTCTCCCAGATTGCTCACGGCATCTCGCATCACAACTGTCATCAACATAACAAATATAAATGGTGATAACGGGCATCCCTGGGAGATTCCAGACACTTGCTGTCTCTCCGAAGATTTGTTTGCACCGTCTGCCACGTAAAACCGCCGCGCATTGTAAATATTCCCAATCATGTTCAGCATGTGCGGGGGCACCCCGAACCGGCGCAGTGCTGCCAGCAAGGCGTCAACGTTTATGGATTCAAATGCTTTTTCCCAGTCAAGGGCGACGAAGGTAGTGCCACCCTCTTTCCTGGCGTGCGCCAGGTCGATATGACGTCGCACTGCATGAATGGCATCAGTGGTGCCTCGCCCTCTGCGAAAGCCGCATCGTTTTTGCGACAGCCGGTCTTCTGCACCTGCTTGTTAAAGTCGTTGAAGAAGGAGACTGGCCAATAGCTTGTATGCCACGCGCAAGGAGGCTGATTGGACGGTAGTTTTCGCATAAGTGTATCGGCCCTTTGTTCTTGTATATCGTACTTACTTTGGCGTGCATCCACGCGTCTGGTACTTTTCCTTCATCCCAGGTTGCATTGCGTAGTTCTGTTATCCATTGTAGTCCACCTGGCGTTTGTGACACCGATTTCCAGTATTCCGCAGGTCTGTCATCAGGTCCAGCCGCTTTTCCCCACTTTAACTTTCTTACTGTTTTTCCCACTTCCCGCACTGTGAAGGCGGACTCCTGGACCGGGAGGGGCGGCCCTAATGGGGCCCTTTCAACCAAGTTTGCTGGTCGTACTCTCCACTGCACTTGTTCCAAATAATCGGCCATCGTATTAGCACGTTCTGTGCTCTCCACTAACTTTCCATGCCCATTGTGCAGCCTGCCTTGCTTGTGCTGCCGTGGACGGCAGAATGCGCGTATATTGTCCCACCTGCCGGCCACCCATGTCGTTTTGTCATTTGTACACGATATTCTTACTTATTTAAGGAGACGGCGCTCTTCTGGTCGCTCGTTGTTGCTGCTGGCATTTTGTCTTTGTCGTATTAGCTCCAGTGTGCGTCGAGATACCCAGGGTTGTTTCGTTTCTTCTTGACGCCGTGGAAGCACGGGCGCAGCCTCCAGAGCTGCATTCGCCCCCTGCTCCCGTAGAGCATCCACGTCCCCAGCGACGGTCATACCAGATTGTTCGTCCAAAAATGCTTCGGCAAATCTCGACTGCACTTCAGGATCTCTGAGCATATCGTTGTCGATCGCTGCCTTGCGCGCGAAAGTGTGGTCGCAGAGCCTGAATGAATGAATGATGTCGCACGTCACCACCGCAAGCGGCGGGGCTGCCTGCTACTAACCCTACACACCCCGCCGCTGCCGTGGACCCCACCCTCGGCGAAGGCAGTGGCAGCCGTCTGCTGACGCTGCCAGCTCGTGAGAGAAGAGCGCTGCGAGGGCAGTGGCAGCCTCCGTGCGAGAAGGGACGCCCGAGAGAGCGCGGACAGGCAGTGGCCGCGAGGGCTCAGTGGCTGCCTGTGCGAGAAGGGCCGTCGCCTGTGAGACAGGCCCGCGCGACACGCGGTGCCCGCAGGCGAGGGCGCGGCCGTGGGGCCGCGGCGTGCTCCCCTTCCCCCCCTCCTCCGCGCGACACCAGTCGCCTCGGGAAGTGTCTTCGACGTGTCTCCTCCTCCTCCTCCTCCCCCTCCTCCTCCTCCTCCTCCTCCGCCTCCTCCTCATCCTTCCCTTCCCTCCTGATCCTCCTGCCCGTCCCTTCTTTCCTCCTTCTCCTCCTCCGCCTCCTCCTCCTCCTCCTCCTCCTCCTCCTCTTCATCCTCATCCTCATCCTCATCCTCGACCTCCTCCCTCTCCTTCTCCTGTTCCTCCCCCTCCTCCTCCTCGTCCTCCTTCTTGTCCTACTCCTCGTCCTCCTCCCCCTTCTCCTCCTCTTCCTCCTCCTCCGCCTCCTCTTCCTCCTCCTCCCCCTCCTCTCCCCCTCCCCGTCCTCTTCCTCCTCCTCCTCGTCCTGTTCCTCCTCCTACCACTTTTTTTTTCCTCCTCCTCCTCCTTTTTCTCCTCCTTCCTCCTCCTCCTCCTCCTCCTCCTCCTCTCCTCCTCCTCTCCTCCTCCCCTCCCCTCCCTCCTCCTCCTCCTCCTCCTTTTCCTCCTCATCCGCCTCCTCCTCCTCTTCTATGTAGTAGTACGCGTTGTCTTGGTCGTCTCCGTATGGCTATGATTAGTAGTATGATGTTTCGTTGGTTCAATAGTAGTCCTAAACGTATGCTAAGAATTAATATTACTGGTACTATTGTACGTATTGCATGATTCGTGTTATTGGTCGCATTGGTTCGTCTTCCCATTCGTATGATTAAAGTTCGTCCTCTTAGTATTGGTATCAGTACTCGTTTATTCGTCGTGGCAGTAGTGTGGATAGTATTATCGCACTGGCATTCGTATCATTAATAAAAATAGCCGTGGTAGTATCAGCATTGTTCGTGTCAGTATCCTTATTAGCCTGACACGTATCACTCGTACGATTAGTAAGATTAGTGGTATTCGTCCTAGTAGTATGAAACGTAGCAGTAACAATATGTGTGAGCATGGTCTGGTTATGATCATATGCATCTGGTTAGTATGCGCGGTCTGCGTGCTATTGGTAGTAGTACTCTTATAAAGTTTAGTATGCTTGTTATTAGTCGTCGTATGCAACTTCTGCGTGTTCAAATGTTTGTGTTGCTTCTTTTTTCTGCGTAGTAGTACTATTCGTATTCGTCTTATCACTCGTTGTATTCCACCTCATCCTCCTCCTCCTCCTCCTCCTCAGCATCATCATCATCATCATCATCATCATCACCATCACCATCATCATCATCATCATCATCATCATCATCATCATCATCATCATCATCATCATCGTCATCGTCATCGTCATCGTCATCGTCATCGTCATCATCGTCAGCATCATCATCCAACTCGACATCCTCATCCTCCTCATTCTCCTCGTCCTCCTCGTCCTCCTCCTCATCATCATCCTCGTCCGCTTCATCCTCCTCCTCCTCGTCCTCCTCCTCGTCCTCCTCCTCCTCCTCCTGCCCCTCCCCGGCCCTCTCCCCCTCCCCTTCCCCGTCCTCCTCTTTCTCTTCCTCATCCTCCTCCTCCTCGTTCTACTCCTCCCCTTCCTCGTCCTCCTCCTCCTCCCGTCCTCGTCCTCGTCCTCGTCCTCGTCCTCGTCCTCCTCCTCCTCGGCCTCCTCCTCCTCCTCCTCCCGGCCCCGTCCTCGTCCTCGTCCTCGTCCTCGTCCTCCTCGTCCTCCTCCTTCTCCTCCTCCTCCTCCCGTCCTCGTCCTCGTCCTCGTCCTCCTCCTCCTCCATCATCCTCCTGTGCCTCCTCCTCTTCTTCTTCGTATTATTATTCGTCTTCTTAGTATTACTCCTCATACGATTATTGATGTGATTATCATTACTGTGATGCGTCTTCGTCATCGTCTTCTTATTATTCTTCTTCTTCTCCTCCTCCTCCTCCTCCTCCTCCGCCTGTGTCTCCTCCTCCTCCTCTCCTCCTCCCCCTCCTCTTCCTCCTCCTCCTCTCCTTCTCCTCCTCCTCCTCCTCCTCCTCCTCCTCCTCCTCCTCCTCCTCCTCCTCCTCCTCCCCCTCTCGTCATCCTCGTCCTTCTCGTCGTCACACTCTCCTAGGGCCATTTTGTCCGCCCAGTTCACTTTTGACGTCCATGGCCCAGTGAGAGCCCCAGACGTCAAACACGATCAAAAAATAGCGGCCGCGGATCCCAAAAGGAAGATGTGGGGTCCACGCGGGCCTCAGGAAGTTTATGTTTACGCCGTCTTCCCTCTGCGACGAGGAAGGAGAAGCAGGACGAGGAGGAGGAAGAGGAGGGCCAGAATGCATCCAAGATGCATCAACGATGCTGCAGTACATTCTCCTATCCCAAGTCCCCTCTCCAGTAGCGCCTGCAAGTCACCCTGTCCACTGCATGTTCAAGTCTTGTGGCGCGACAGGTATTATACGTGGGTCACCGCGGGAAATGCTAAGGCGGACTCGCTTGTGAGCGGGTTAGAAGTGCCCCGAGGGGCTCAGGGAGGCTAGAGAACTCCTTTAAGTGGGAGGAGCCCACTTGGCCCGCAAGTGTATCCTCTTAAGCCGCTTAAGGCACTTGCCATCCACTTACAACACCCGAATACGGACGGACATTGGACAGAAGAACATCCTTCAAGAACATGAGACCCGCCGCCTGCCAAAACACACAGAACATCCAAGGGTACCCTCCCCAAGATGCACAAAAAACATCCAACAAACGCGAAGACCTTATTGTACCCCCCGAACGGACCTCGATCTTTTACCTCGGGCCGACCGTAGGCCAGAAGGGGCCCCCTCTGGGATTTGGGACCCCCCTCCGAACACCCAGGAACTCCAACAGGCACCAGGAGACGCCAAGAATCTCCTGGGCCCTCGCACATCCCTCCTCCTCGATCCTCGGAACACCCCCACGATCCCCTCGATCCTCGATGCTCATCGACCCTCCTCCTCCTCCTCCTCCTCCTCCTCCGTTTCCTCTTCCTCCGCCTTCTCTTTCTCCTCCTCGACCCAAGAGGCGACGGACCCCAAGAGAGGGCACCCGAAAGGCGAAAGCTGCCAAAAACACCGTCCTTCGTGAAATTGTCAAGGCACTGCCTGGCTTGAATGCCCAGGGGGGACCAGCAGGAGTACTTGTCGTAGGAGCTGAGTTCCTCCTTGCCGTCCGACTCTATGCGGGCTGAGAGTTCCTGCGCCACCCGCATGCGGGCCAACGGGGAACGGGGGGGGGGCATAGGAGAGGAGGAGGTAGGAGGATAGGAGGACGACGTCGAGCTCAGTGGAGGTAGTTTCTCTCATGTCTGGCTTCGTCAGCGGTCGCATTCCCATTGTCATTCCTCCTCCTCCGTTCTGCCCGTTCGTCGCCCCACATCCCTCCTTTCGTCCCTCTCTCCCTGTTCCTCCTCGTGTGCTGCAATGCTGTGGACATCATGTACTTTCTCGAAGCGTGGCCTTCCCGTCCAGCGGGCTTGGATCGAAGAGACACTCGACGAAGTGGCCCACCACGACCGCCCCTCCAGCCCAGAGGTGCCGACGCGGAACCCCCAGGCGCAGTGCGAACACCCAGACCAAGGCTGCGCGGCGACTGCTGCCTCGCCCTCTGACCTCCTCCTCCTCCTCCTCCTCTCCCCCTCCTCCTCCTCCTCCTCATCCTCCTCCTTCTCCTCCTCCTCCTCCTCCTCCTCTTCCTCCTCCTCTCGTTAAACCGACATTACGAGCGAGCCTGTTGCGCTTGTACAGTGCAGCATGAACAGAAAATGCGACTCGGGTCCAAAAAATACAAATAGAGACAAAGCCAGGTGTAGCAAGAAGAGTAGGCGCCCGCCAGGTCTTCGAGGTAGGCACTAACCTTGGCAACCCGGTGCCCCAAGTGAACAAGCAGAACCCCCCAAGGACTCCAAAGGTAGTGCCTCCTCGGGTGGCACGTAGCAGTGAAAAATGCAAGGAGCCTCAGGGTACCTGCTTCCTCATGGCGGGCTGTAGCGAAGCTTCACCGAGTCTGAAAGGGAGGAACGCGACCGAGTGGCCGGCACAGGTCTTGCTGGCTGGCCAAGGTATGGCAACTGCACGGGTCGCCTGGCACGAAAGCGATTCAGGCCTTGGGGCTGCGACCCCTGCGCAAGCGACGCCAACAGCAGTAGCCCCCCACGACCACCCCCAAACAATATGGTAACCCTCCTCCCCCACCCAGTGATGCTGCGAAATGTCAAACATTACTGTCGAGGAGCTCCTAATACACTGGGGCTGGGAGCATACAGCCACCGATGTATAACCGTAGTCCCTGTGGGACCGGAAAAAATGGCGTACCGTCACCAAATTACTGCTGCCCGGCTGCGCCCGAAACTGCATGTGCAATGTGGCATAGCGCCGCCACAGTACAAGCCTCGAAGGTCTAGCTTCAAATATAAACAGCAGCACACGAGGCTTTGCGAATTGCCGTGCAATGTTAGGGCTGCTACCCAGGGGTTGTTTAGGATCACCCCAAGCCTGCACAGAGGGAGAGCGCCTCGCCCCCTCCACCACGTTTTCATAAGTCTCCTTCGCGGCGACGTTCGACCGCGATGCCACCCAGAGGGGGGAATACGGCACCCAAACAACGTTGGGTGAGGCCGCGGCCGTGCACCAACAGCCGACACGCCAGCCACCGCGTCAAACGACACAGGCGGCTGGCGCGCCAGGGCGCAGGCCGAAGCACATGGGTGCCATGCCCCCCCTCGAGGGTGGTGGGTGGGAGAAAAGAAGCGCGACCGCGGTCGCGTCCGACGCACTCTGGCGAACGGACGCCCCGCGCGTCGCCCCCAGGGTTGGCCCAGAGCCGCACACTGGCAGACAGAGGACCACACCCCGGCCAGCCGCCCCACCTTAAGAGTGCACACTAGGCAGGTGAGGCGCTGCAGACATGACCGGGCGCTCGATACCCCGCCCCGCGGCCAGGCGGCAAAGAGGAGACATCACGACCGTGCGCGGAGGAGCGGAGGGAGGAAGGACCCCGACGCACGGCCGCGCGGCACGCCAGCGTGCCCGTGCGGGGCCTGGCCCGCCCGACGTAGCGGCGGCGCGTGGCGGGTGGACATGCGGGCGCCCGCCATCGCGCGGTGCGCCGACGGCGGGGCACTCCCGCCCGGGGGCGTCGACTTATGACTTGCAATAACAAGTTATTACTGCCCCATAAGTCTCCTTCGCGGCGACGTTCGACCGCGATGCCACCCAGAGGGGGGAATACGGCACCCAAACAACGTTGGGTGAGGCCGCGGCCGTCCGCCAACAGCCGACACGCCAGCCCACCGCGTCAAACGACACAGGCGGCTGGCGCGCCAGGGCGCAGGCCGAAGCACATGGGCACCATACCCACTGCCACGGACCCAGGGGCTGAGGCCGAGCGCCGCCCCACACAGCGGGCCTGCGGCACCCGCAGGCACGCTGCCACCCAATGCCAGGCAGAGAGACGGCCGCAGACGCGTGGCCCGCGAGAGAGCGACCGATGGACCGAACGAGGGCGAACGAGCGTGCGAAGGGGCCTGGCGCGACGTTACTTGCACCGACCAAGCGTGGAATGACGTCGCTGGACGCCAGGGGGGTCCGAATCCCTACCCTCGTCGTCACTGGACGACACGCCGAAATGCGCCTCGGCGACGGCCTGGCGCTCCATCTTCTCAACGTCAAGATAGCGCATCCAAGCTGGCATCTGCCAGTCACCTGCCTTCAGGACGTCGGTGACTCGGCCGCCGAACTCCACAATGTCTTGGGCGTGGCCCCGACGGAACGAGTGGGTGCCGTAGGCGTCGGCGTTAACTACTCCCGTGTGATGCAGTGCCGACCGCAGCGCATTACGTACACCCGTGGCGCACCAGCCCGCCCACGGGGCCTCTCCAACGGACTGCGAGTTGAACCGCGCGCCGAGAGCGCGCACGGGGCACGTGGCGCGTGAGCGCTGACACCAGCAATTGCGCACAAAAGTTGTCCGTCTTTCCCGGTTCTTCCGTCTGGCGAGCGATGAGACGGCCGCCTCTTCGCTGATGAAAAGGCCGGCGCGTAAATGCGACGCGTCGTCGAGCGAGGCGGCCCGTTGGATGACCAGCGCTTCCGACGGGAGGCGAAGTAGAAACGCGTACGCGGTCGCGAAGGGGAGACCCAGCCCGGATCCCTCTGGCAACGCGCCTGGGCGTTCCAGTAGCTGTTCCAGCACGTGCATCCGGACCGCCGTGCGGGGTCGTGCCGACCAACCCGAACGCTTCTCGATAGCCAGCTCGGCGCCGGCCAGCGACGCGCGCGTGAACGCTGCGTCTGCCACGCGCGCGACGTGGCATGCCTCCTTCAAGTGCGAAAGGTAATTGCAGGACGTCGCGCGACACCTGAACGTCGTAGACCAGAGCAAAAGACCGTCGACCGACGGCGGGAGTTCGCTGCCTTTGCGCTGCAAAGCGTCGCCCGCGAACTTCACCCAACATTCGAAGCCGCTGCGAACCTGCGGGGCACGATCCGAGCAGGGCGCTGTTACGGGCAACCTGGGCCCACGCCCGCCCCGCCTCGGGCGACGTGACGGCTGCGGCAGCCTTCGCGATCTCGCAACGCGGATCGCCCATCTGACGCTCGAAACCTTCCGTTGCCGTACGTAGCGCACGGCGTACCGCTGCCACTGGGTCCGCTGCCGAGCTGCGGTTGCGCCGCCGACGGGCCGTAAGCATCGCGGGTGGAGGCCCCGGTGGCGGCGCCGGCCCTGGGATGCCCTGCGCGCGCGGCCGCGCGCGAAGACGTCGCGCGCGTGCAACGCGCGGAGAAAAGCGGTCTGCGACGGACCACGCGGGGCGCTCATAACCGCACACTCGAGGAAGAGGACGATGAAGAAGCCGAGCTCGCAGAGCCTTGACTCGACGGGCTTGCCCTCGCCGCCTCGCCACCGTTGGGCCTGGCGTTCGCCCATCGTACTTAGGAATACGCGCGGCGCGCGCGCACGACCCGCGCGCCCGCGATGCACGCCACCTTGCGGGCGTGCCAGCAGCTCTCGCACTGCTGTCGCTGCGGTGACAGAGAGGCGTTCACGACCCAGAAAATCATCGAACAGCGCACCCTCGAGGTGCTGCCAGCGCGTCATCCCGTTAAACCGCAGGCGAGAGCAAACCGCGTCGATATCAGCACGTGACGCTCTGGGCAGAACATTGCTCAGCTGAGCGGCGAAATCGTCGTGAGACATAATGATACAGGCTAGGTCGCGTGGACCTTGCGGTGTGAGCCCCTGCTGAGTGGCGCGCGTCAACCGTGGCGCGCGCCGCGAGATACCCGATAGCGGGCGCCGAGTTTCGGCTGCCTCGCAGCGTAGCCGTGCTGCGAGCGCTGGCTCACCTTGTCGGGATGAGCATCGACGTCCATGACGCTGGCGTGCAGAACGCCTCGTCCAGGTGCAGATCAATTCGCACTGCACCGAGCTGCCGCAGCAGCCCGAACTCACCCCTGGACGGATCATCTGCGATATTTTCGTCTGTCGGCACCCGCTCCACACGTGCTAGCCACCGCAATTGCGCAATCTTGACCCAGAGGCCGTGTGCGAGACAAGCGTGATCGAACGCGCGCGCGGCGCCGCTGCCGGCGGCGGCCTGCGCGCCTGTGTTGTCAGACCAGATTACGGCGCGCCGACGGCGGAGCAGGTGTTCAAACGAGCACAAGCCCAGGGCAATGCTCAGCATTTCCAAGCCCATGCTTTGATTATCTTCCCTGGGCTGGAACGCCTTCAAGATCCTGGCGCACGCGTGCGCGCGCGTCGCGACCAAAACTGACGCTGACCTGCGCAGCCGTGCTGGGCGGCAGGTGGCATGCACGTCCAGTAGCATTTGTTGTCAACGAACAGTACGGCGGCCGCCATGGGCGGGCGGCTGGCTGCGTCGCAGAACATATGGGCCACGGGGCCCGCCGCTTCGTCGCACCACCTTCGTGACTGTGCCAGCTCGCCGCCCAGCACGATCAACCACCACCGCAGCACTAGCCGTAGCGCTTGCGGCATGTCGGGAGAGCCGCGATGTGCCTGGGCGTAGATCGGCCTGCCCCAACGTGGGCGTGGCAAATAGGTGCGCTGCCGGCGCACGGCACAGAAAAACACACCTGAGCATGGCGCGCCCCGCGCGGTTGAACATGTTACCGGATGCCCAGGCTAGTGCGCCCGCGAGTTGGATCGCGTCACCTGGCCGCGCGCGCCACG